TCTTATCTGTACCAATGTGTGTACTCTGGTCTAGATGGGGTTGTAAAGTAGAATTGGGTCATGGTAGTGCCATGGGCGAAGGTGGGTGGGGGAAGGGAGCATTCAGGAACTGGAAGAATGATGTGTATTTCCTTACTGCTATACTACACCATGGTTGAATCATCCCTTGCTTGTAACCATTCTGTGGGAAGATGTCAAATTGTCTACGGATGGGCTTTGGGTCTCCACTCCAAGCCCCCTCATGTACATCAAATTAATTGTTTGTTTGGGATCTTTTGATACCTGATTCTGTGAACACCTCATGATCACACAGGCTGATGTGCTTCCTCTATGAGGGCTTATTTGCTTCTCTGCTTGATGGCCAGTTTTTTTTCATGCCTTTAAGATCTCAGACACTACATCTTTTGATGCTCAGGCACAATATGCTTTTTTCACCACATTTGCATATGCATCCACTGTGTCTTCAGTGATCTGATCGTGTTGTGAAGGTCCTCATGGCAAATTTCATCTCCACTTTCTCAGGGAATAGATAAGAGGATTTATCATGTGCATGATCCCAGTAAAACAGAGACATTTTCTTATTCCTGTTCTCACTTCCAGAAGGGAGAACCGAAGTATAGATGAGTCACAAAAATAAAACCACAATCATACATGAGAATTATAGGTCAATATAGCTCCCTATCACCTGGCTAAGCAGTGGGTCCTAATGGTACACTGTAAGTATGCAAGAATCCATAGAACAACAACAAGCTGAAGAAAGCTGCTGTTGGTGCCCGGCTATCAAAAGATATAGCGTCTGGGGTCTTAAAAACTTGAGGGTAAACAAGGGGTCATCTAGCTCAGAAGCAACAAAGCCCACATGGAAGAACACACCAGCCTGTGTGATCACAAGGTGCCTAAGGGATGAGTTATCAGCCATCAAAGAACACAATATTATATCATTTTGTGCTCACCTCCATGATACGATCGCTGAAGACAAATGGGTGAATAACCAAATGTGGTGTAGAAAGTTGATAGTGCCCAGCTATCAAAAGGTACAGCA